AGGACATAAACAGTTCCAGGATGTCTCAAATGATAAATTATTGTTAAACGTAGTCTTGTATACAGGACATAAACAGTTCCAGGATGTCTCACATGATAAATTATTGTTAAACGTACTCTAGTACATAGGACAGAAACAGTTCCAGGATGTCTCAAATGATAAATTATTGTAAAACGTAGTCTTGTATACAGGATAGAAACAGTTCCAGGATGTCTCAAATGATAAATTATTGTTAAACGTAGTCTTGTATACAGGACAGAAACAGTTCCAGGATGTCTCAAATGATAAATTATTGTAAAACGTAGTCTTGTATACAGGATAGAAACAGTTCCAGGATGTCTCAAATGATAAATTATTGTTAAACGTAGTCTAGTATACAGGACAGGACATCCTGGAACTGTTTTCAAATGATAAATTATTGTTAAACATAGTCCAATATACAGGACAGAAACAGTTCCAGGATGCTTCAAACTTGACTGGTTTCACTTTAGGTGTCAGTTATACTGTAGAAGTGTGTACGAGGTGTTTCTTGTTAGAATACAATGATTCCAACAACAGAGAAGATAGGCTGTACAAGAAGAAAGCACTGTGTTTCTGAGATTTGTGCTATCTTACTAGTCGACTAGTTTTTGCTTTTATTTTTATTAAGAAAATATTTTAATTTAAAAATTTACAAGCCAACAATCGAATTTCAAACTCTTTATATTTTTACCAATTATGATAATTTTTGTTTCGCTAAAAATTCTCTACTTCATAACTGACTGTAACGACATCTTTTCACCTACTTTCGCTCCTCCGCTGATTCAGCGGAAAGTCAGTGGGCTTATAACGCTAGGAATCGGGTTTCGAAATCCACGGTGGGCAGAGTACAGATAGCTCATTGCGCAACTTCGTGGTTTAAAGCAACCAACCATTTGTTTGTTTGTTTGTTTTGAATTTCGCGCAAAGCTATACGACGGGTATCTGCGCTAGCCGTACCTGATTTGACATTGTAAGACTAGAGGGAAGGCAGCTAGTCATCACCACTCACCGCCTACTCTTGGGCTACTCTGCTACCAACGAATAGTGAGATTGACCGTCACTTTATAACATCTCCATGGCTGAAAGGGCGAGCATGTTTGGTGAGATTCGAACCCGCGACCCTCAGATTGCGAGTCGAGCGCTCTAACCACCTGGCCATGCCGGGCCATAACAACCAACCAAACTACTCACCTTTTTTACCTCATTATTGGTGTTCACCAATAAGAAGTATTCACTTACATACACTTGTGTCCACATTCGTCTAGAGCTAGTCAGTCTACCATAAATTGCCACAGACTCCTTGGTATATTGATTATATGGTGTATTTATTGTGTAATGAGCTCTATTATTACCAGTAAGATTAACACAGTTGTAATCAGGCAGTACATACTGTTCACGGTTGCCCGGAGATACACATACACACACACATATATATATGTTTATGTACCACCTTCTATTAATATTTTACTAAAGTGTTTATTGACTGTAGTATATTTGTCTGTGACACATTATAGTTGCAATGATTATTGATAAATTATGAACAATAAAAAACTTTTTTATGCATGAAAAAACCCCACACATCATACATAAACCCATGAAATTGTAATCCTTAGTTCTACGAACATTATTTCAGTATTCCAAAATGTATACATTTGGATAAAACAGTCATAGGAAACATTAATGGAATTAATTTGACTTTTGGAAACACTGCAATTAAACTTGTTGTAAACCTAATCCGTGTCTAGCTAGGTTAAGTGTTCTTATAGAGTTATATCAAATACCTATCGGAAGGGTTGTTGGTATTAAGATGCTAAGAGCCCCCAAGAGCATTAAGCTAACATTAGTCCATCGTCGTCCCAACCTTTCCATTAGGTACCAGCATAAGAAATACGATGGTAGTTCAACAAGTCCGAGAAGAAAGAAGTTGAGAAATTCGTTTCCATAGAGATTGGTAGCGTTTATCTGCAGACCATAATAAGCCATGGAGTTTGCAGCCCTGTAACATACGTTGGAAGCTAATAAAGTTACAACAAAGCTTTCATGTTTTAAAGCACTACATTTTATATAAGCAATTTTAGAAAAAAATTTATAAGTCTCTTTTTTTTTTAGAATAATTTCGTAAAATGGATTTTACTAAAGATGAAAAGTTTGTTTTTGAACTATAAAAAACAATGACATTGTTTAGAATGCATATGAAAACGTGGTTCTATTTTTTACGAGAAAGAAACGATTGCGGCATTAGATCTTTTATAAGAAAATGAATCAATAGAACTTATGAAATACATAGGTAAATTTAAGATCTTGACGTATTTACGTATATTGAATACTGAAAACAAAATATACGAAAGTTAATACCAAAGAAAACAAAATTATATATAACTTCGTTTACCCCACCTGAAAAAATATTCCATTAGTAAAAAAAAAAAATTATGAAAATGTCAAAAAGAAAAAGTAGCATTGCAATAAAGTAGGCTTAATGTTAATTAAGCCTACTTTATTCTTGCTAACTGAGCATGAGTATTTCGTGTCTAACGATTCACAAATCTTTCCAGAAGTGACATTTACTTGATACCTTAACGAACTCACTGTCATGCTTTGACTTACTATTCTATAACTTAGCTTTATCTTAATCTGTCCCCCAGTGGGTCAGCGGTAAATTTACGGACTTAGAATGCTAAAATCCGGGGTTCGATTCACCATAATGGACAGATCGCAGATCGCCTATTGTGTAGCTTTGCGCTAAACAGATAAACAAAACTCACGGTTCCACAGTAGTTTAAGGACTCACAGTACTAAAATTCGTGGTTCGATGTCCCGTGGTGGATCGAACGCAAATCGCCTATTGTTTAGCTGTGTGCGAAACGCAAACAAACCGTTTCAATTCTGCACATGTATCTTGGTGTTATTCTTTAAAGATTGGAACTGATGGTAAGGGTTTTCTTAAGATCCACACACACTCCGAAAAAAAACAAATGAAATTGCTCATTGACATATGTAGATAAATGTTACGTATTGAGAATTTACAATAGTCCAAAGCGATAATTTACGCTATCTGCCAACAAGATTGACACACCGTCTTCGTTTTTCACACTAATACATTTTAATATATATACAGCAGTATAATTTACAATAGCAATTATTATGATTATTTATTACAATGTTTCATAAGCAGAAATTTCACTAACTTACGAATAACCTAAACTCGTTTCCCTAGTTCAGAGTCTCCTTGATATTCAGCGATTTAACTTGAAGTCGATGTACGTACAATTGTCGGGAAGCTAGCTAGCTTTG